ACTTACTCTTTTCTGCTCCTTCCTCACTGGTTTTCTTGATGTTTCTGAAGCCCACCATCCTACCACTGCTCCAAGGCCTTTGCACCGGCTCTCCCTTCTGCTTGGAGATCTATACAGCCCACCCCTCACCTTCTGGAGGATTTTACTTCATTGTCACATTCACCTGGGGCTTTCCCTAAATACCTCATATGAAGTAGCCATCTCAGACTCTCCCATCATGTCTGATCACCCTTACCTGCTTTATTTTTCTCCACTGCACTTTTCACTCTCTGACTTAGTATGTATTAACTGATTATTAGTTTATTGTCTGTCTCCCCCCCCCCCAACTACAGGGTACACTCCATGAAGACAGGGGCTCTGGTTTATTCATTGCTGCATCCCCAGTGCCAAGACTAGTATCTGAATATAGGTCTTGGTAAATACTCATTGAATGAGGACTAAATGAGTGAAAGAATGAATGACTGCATGAATGGATGGAAAACTCAAGGTTTCTAACCTCAAAGAATTTATAATCTGGTGGGGGGGAGACATACAATAAATAAGACAACTGTAGTTTGTGTGGTAGGGTAAGACTCACAGGCTGGGCTCTCGAGTCTGACTGTCAAGGTTTGAATCCCTGCTCCACTTATTAGTTGTGCCTTTGAGGGCAAATTGCTTAAGCTCTCTGGGCCTCATTTTCTCATCCGTTAAATGGGAATAATAATAATACTGCTGTGTAGGATTATTGTGAGAATTAAATGAAACAATCCATATAATGTACTTAGCACAGTGCCTGGTGTTTAGTAAGCTCTCAGTAACTGTTAACTGATACTGTTACTGGATCACCTGCCATAATCAAGTGGAGCCTGAAAAATTCTTCAGGATCACCTGCATCCTGGTCTGGTGGGACTGAGGCTGTTGTGTTAGGGAGCAAAGGTTAGAAAGGCCCCCCCATCAGAAAGACTGTCCTTGGGGACACCTGGATCTTAGGACTTCTGTGAATGACAAATACCCCTGGTCCTCCCTTCAAACACCTATTAAACATTTCTTCTCCCCCAATAGGCTCCAGTGCGTCCATCCCTTCTAGAAGTAACTGTTTCTCATTTAAATATCAGCAACGTGTTGAATATTATGTTGGGCTCTTTTTCTAGTAATTTTTAGGCTACAGCAAATAATTGTTTAAGGCTGTCCTTCAGGAGACATTTGTAAATCTTTCTTTTGCCTTGTGATACAGAGAAAACCATGTCAAAAGTCATTCTGACAACTTGTATTTTAATTTAAGTTTTATGAGTTACCGTTTAAAGAAGGGCAGGTTCTCATTGGTAAGCCTTCTTAAGTGGTTGGAGCTTTGATCTGAAGTCCTAGGGAAGCTTTGCAGAAATTGGAGGTGACATTGTTGACGGGTTTGTCCATAGTTATTCTACTGCCATTAATTAAGCACACACACACACACAGCCTTTATTTACTCCCCTGGAGTGAATGAATTGAACTTGACTTTGGTTTTTGATGGGAAGCTGTGAGAGGGTCCAGGAAACATCAAAGGAACACTCTTAATCTTGTAAAACTAACTCTCAGATGACCTAGCTTGAACATTAAAGAGCTCTTGATTCCAATGCTGGTCTAGTTTCTTTCCTGTGAGGCGTTAATTCTCCTTAATGATAAGAAAAGTGCAGGGGGAAATAAGCACCCTCCCCAGTCTGTTAAGTTCCAGAGGGTTACAGGCTGTTTAATTTTATCTCGCTTCTAAGAGTCTCCTTTGTAAAACTGTATTTGCATTTTTGGTCTTTTTATATTACTTAAACCTTCAGGATCTCAGCTTTAAGATCTTAAAACTTATTTTCTTTTGCATTTTATTTTTAGATTTTTGGAAGGATCACAGCTATCTTAAAGCTTTTTTATGCTCCTAGACCTTTAGAAATGAAGGCACAGACAGGTTAAGACATTTGTATAAGCAAAAAGCCGGATGGCACCTTTGCAGAGAGAAATCTGAACCTAATAGTTGGGAAGTCCGTTTTCATGTCTGCTTAGGGAAACCCACTAGACCGCTCATTTGCTCCCAACAAATAGCCATCAACATGCCTGTTGGGTGCCAGGCACTGTTTTTAAGTTCTAAAGAGTGAGGTAAAGAGACAAAAATCCCGCTCTCATGGAGTTTATGTTTTCATGAACAAGTAACACAATAACTAAATTAATAACATAGTATATTAGAAGGTGTTAAAATCTGCGGAGGAAAATAAAGCGGTGGTGGTAGAGTTGGTTTTACGTAGGGTGGTCAGGGAAGGCCTCACTGATAAAGTGACATTTGAGCAAAGGCCTGCAGGAGCTGAGGGAGTGCACCCTTGCCTTTGGCATAAGCGTGGGAAGAAGCAGCAGCGAGTGCAAAGATTCTGAGGCAGGAGGATGCCTAGCATGTGGGTAGAGCAGCAAAGAGGCCATTGAGGCTGAGAGAGAGTGAGTGAGTCTAGGAGACATGGTCAGAGATCAGGGACAGGTCATTTAGGGCCTTGTGAGACAGGTCAGACTTTGGCCTTTTCTCAGAGTAAGGTGGGAGCCATGGGAGGGTTTTGAGCCAAGCAGTGACATGATGATCTGATTTACGTTGAACAGGATTGCTATGGTTGCTGGTAGAAGCTGGGAGACTAGTTAGGTGGCCGTTGCATTGATCTAGGCCAAAGATAGTGGTAGTTTGAGGCAGGGTGGAAGTGATGAGAAATGTTTGGAGTCAGGATATGTTATAAAGGCAGAGCCAAAAGGATTTCCTGGTGGATTTGAGCCTGAGCACCTGGACCATGTGCACTGTCGCACATGCCTTGTTATTGATGGTTCTCACTGGCCTCCAAATTACTATCAACCAATCATTCTGGTCCTGATTATGAAGCTGTAGACTCTCTGGTGGCAGGGAGAAATAGACATGTGGTCTTCTGAGCACATGTTCTGAGCAGATGGCACCAGGTTAATTAATGAGAGAGAACTTTGTTTACCAGTGTAAATTGTTTAGTCCTTTTTGACACCATCTGACAGCACCTGTGGCTTCACATTCTGGGAGAGGAACTGTAATAGGTGTTTGTGTCATCCCAACCAGCATCTCAGCTCTGAGTCTGAAAAATATAGAGAAAGAACAGCAGAGCATGAGAAGCTAAAGTAAAGACAGAAATAGGAAGATCAGGAAATTTTTAGTACAGACATCTCTGAAAAGGAAAACATCGGGAGCAGTAAAATGTGTATCTTTCCCTTGTAAAGTTTTCTCCCTTTTTTTTTCTCTCTCTCATGGCTTCCAGTTGGAAGATAAAAGATGCAGTATTTCTAGGATAACCAGAGAGAGAATTAATGAAGTTACACAGAATGTGACAAAAACAAAGTGTCATATTTAATCATCGAGGGCTGGCAGGAGCAGAGTTTATGGATCACTCTAGTCAGATCCGTGGAAGGTGGAGTGGCTCTCCCAGAGCCCCACTTTTCACTGCACCCACTGTGATCTTTCCTAGTCAAATAAACCACAAAGCCTATTCTGAGAGAACATGAGGACATGGTTCGCTCTGGTGGTGGCCAAGGAGAGAGCCAAAAAATCCCACTCTGTTTATTTACTAGGAATCTTATTTCCCATCCCTTCCTTGCTCACATGGGACTGAGTAAATCTTAATCTGACTGAATTCTTATCTCAGGAAAATCAAAGAGTAGTCCTGGAAGTCCTCTAAATAGCAGGTGCAGAACAGAATGAAGAGAAATAGGGAGGGCGGAGCCCAGTGGAAAACATCTTCGGGAGGCCAAGAAGTCCATAAGGCTGATGAGCTCCAGACAGGAGCAGGTGGATGGGAGGGGGGCTAGTGCCTAAGGGCGCAAACTGGAACCTCCCGGTGTAGGGTGATGGGGAGACCAGATGGACTGGCATTCGGTCAAACCAGATGGTGGGTTTTTATTTTTAAAAGAATTTGTAAATCCTAGGAACAAGGAACCATAAGGGTAGTTGGGCCTTTAATCCCATTAGTAGAAGACAAAGTGTGCTCTTTAAAAATGTAAAGCCACCAATTATAGACTTTCTGTTATCAAAACTTTGGGACGGACTACCAGCTTGTGAAACTCCGGGGACTCTGAATTCTTCACGGATGGGAGGAGAAACTACAGATGTAGTCTAGGCGTTATAGGTTAATATAAAGATTTCTCCTTTAGAATTTAGAGTGAGTTTACTAAATGTACATTCCGAACCAAACAAAACATGATATATCTGTATAAAATAGGCTTGCTTACATATGGAGTTGAAAGAACAACTAACAGTGTAATTGGGGATTGATCAATTATTTAGTAAATTTTGAGTTTGAAATGAGACAAATTTTTAAATTTAAGCACCTCTTGCTTTCCAAAAAGTCGTACTCCTGTGTCTCCCTTCCCCCGTTGCTGGGAAAGTCTAGATCAGCCTGGCCTCACTGTACGCACAGCTGCTCTCCTGGCTGCTGAGACATATGAATTCTGTTCTTCAGTCCTTGTCTCTATGTCAGCCATTACTTGAGGGTCCAGAGTTGTTTCCATGACCCTCTCCAATAGGACTTATCCTCAAGGAGACCAGACTCATAAGCACAGGGTGGAGTCGTCATTTTGTGCTCACGTGTGACACAGGTGGGGAAGCCATGCAGGCAGAGTCCCGTCTCCCTTCAGTAGGTACAGCAGCGGGGCCATAGAGGAGGGTTGTGTGCTCAAGAGCTCACGAGGAATCTGCCGCCTTTGCATCCTGTAACATACCTGATTCTCCCACTAAGAGGAAGGGCCTAATTTCACCTAAAAAAAATTCAAAGAAATATTAAATATTAAACATTTTCAGTAGCACGATTCATTGTTAAATCACTTCTATTTAAAATATACATGTACCCATTAAGTAAATGTTAACAGAACAGTGTCATTTTTTGATGCTATTTCATAAATATTTCTTTCCTTGATTACGCCTGAAAAGCATAATGGTTGAAGTGGAAGAGAGTTGCTTTCCAACGCCATTGACCGGGTTTTTTGTTTGTTTATTTTTGTCTGTAAAGGTATGGAAACCTGACAAGCCCAAACTGTGAAGAAGATGGACGGCAAAGTTCATCCGAATCCAAGACGGTGATCAGGAAGTGAGTATGCCTTTCTCGGCGTTCCAAGCTCTCAGTCAAGACCTATTACCTCAAGAGAATGTTATTTAGTAAAGTTTTTTATTTCTTTGGAATGGTGCCATGGTTTTTTCCATAATGCATAAAATCATAGAATTATTTTCTCCCTGTGTAACGATATTCATTTATTCATCCAGTGAAAATGTATTGAGCACCTACTGTCTGCCAGGCCCTGTGCTAGGGGAACAGCTATGGACAAAATAAATAAGTCCCAGCTCTTACGAAGTTTGTATTTTAGCAGAGAGAGACAAAGAATCCACACAAAAAAGAAGAATGCGGTAGGACAAGGGGCTAGATCAGATGGAAAGTCTGATTCACGTAGGGTGCCAGGAATGGGCTTTCTGCTCTGGTGACACTGGAGCAGAGGCCTGAATGTGGTGCCAGCTAGGCCTTGTGAACGTCCAGGGAGGGAAAATGTGGAAAAGGCTTTGAGGCAAGAACAGTGAGAAAAGGTAGGGAGGCAAATGAGGCTGGAGAAGAGTGAGTGAAGTGGCAAGTGCTAGGGGATGAGATCTGGGAGGTAGCGGGGGGCCCCAGATCATCACATGGGGCCTCAGAGGCCTAGGGAAGGTGCTTGTATTTTATTCTGAGGAAGAACAGTGCTATGAGCACTTAGAAGCACTTAGAAGGTTTTGTGAAGAACAGTGCTATGGCCTGATTTATATTTTATCAGGCTTGCTCTGGATCTGTGTGGAAAATGGACCATGACAGTGGGGATGGGGGCAGGAGTGGCAGCAAGGAGCCCAGTTAGGACCCTTACAAGGGTCTGGGCAAGGGGTGGTGGTAGCATGGGCTTGAGTCGTAGCAGTAGAATAGTGGTATTAGTAACAAGTAGTAGTAACTTATAGTAGTAACAGCTTCTGCACAGATCTTGAAGGTGTTGCTGTCATGATGTGCTGATGGAGTGGATGGGGCACATGAGAGAAAAAGAGGAGGCAAGGATGCCTCCAAAGGTTGTGATGTGAGCAACTGATAGAACAGAACCTCAGCTTTATGAGATAAGAAAGACAGGTAGGGAGGAGCAGATTTGGTGGGGAGCATGTGTCAATAATTTCATCCTAGACATGTTAATTTTGAGGTAATTGGATGAGTCTAGATTTGAGGGAGAAGTCTGGACTGGAGGTATCAATTTGGACATCTTTAGTTTATACATGGTATTTAAAGCTGTGGGTCTGGATGCGACCTCCTGGGGATGAAAGGTAGATAGAGAAGAGAGAGCTCCAAAGACTGAGCCTTGGTTCCTTCCAGTATTAGAGTTAGGGAAGTAGAGGGCCCAGCAGAGGAGATTGGAAGAGAGCAGCTGGGGGGGAAGGAGAAGAAAGAAGTTGTTTCCAGAAGACAAGTGAAGAAGGAATTTTGCGGGGAGTAACCAGCTATGTCTGATGCTGCCCATACGTAAGTGAGAGGAGTCTGGGAAGTGACTGCTGCTTTTGCAACGGTTCTGTCTTTGGTACCTTTAACAAGCGCAGTTTTGGTGGATGGAGGTGTGGGTCAAGAGAGGACGGAAGGCGAGGAAGTGGAGACGGAGAGTTCAGCGACACTTTGGAGGAGTTTTGCTGTGAAGGAGAATGGAGAAATGAGATGGAGGATGATCTGGGGGCAAGGGAGGTTTTTTCATTGTGTGTATGTATTTGTTTTTAAAAATGGGAGGCAGTTTATGCTGATGAGAATGACCCAGAAGACGGTGAAGAAAAATCCATGATGCAGGGGTGCATCACTGTGTGCAGTGATGCTCTTGAGTGGATGGGATGTATGCCAAGGTGCTTCAAACCACTTGTGGTAAATATTCATTTTGGGGCCAAAAGTCTGGAGGGATAATCCTGTGGAATTTTTAGCCCGTCGGAGGGTTGGCTGATGGACTCTTTCCTTCAGGAGCCAGGGGTGTGACGGTTAGAAAACTGAGTATCTTTTTAACTTCCAAGTTAGGCTCCAGATAGTCTTATAGTTTTATTGGATGGGCCATAACTTCCCAGACAACCAAACACACCAGTAGATATTGGAATGCCAAGTGCAAGATGCGATGGTCTGTCCCCAGAGGGCTTGGGGAAACTTCTTGGAGGAAGTGACATAGGCCTTGAAGGAGGGTGAAGATTTTAGCAGTAGAGCCATCCAGGTAGAGGACCAAATTAGGGGAATGCAGCATGCGTGACACTTCGGGGAACAGCACGGCAGTGCAGTGGCTGCTTCACAGTGTCCGTGTTGGGGGAAGGGAGTTGGTGGAGCTGGAGCTGTCATGAAGGGATTTCATTTCTCACGAGAGAATCTGGACTTCCCCAGGTAAGCAGTGGCCTAAAAAGTCTTTGCGGGAGGGAAACAGTATAATCAGACAGCTGATTTGGGGGAGTGGATTTGACTTACCGCTTTCTTCCTCAAAGTATGATCCATGGACCAGCAGCATCAGCATCGCCAGGGAGCTCGCTGGCATTGCAGAGTCTCAGGCCCCACCCTAGACCTCGATTAGAATCTGCGCTTTTAACAAGATCATCAAGTGATTCCTGTGTACTTGAAAGTCTGAGAATTGTAGGATTAGAGGGGTTTTCTTGTTGTTATTGTTAATTTTGTTTATCCAGGAAAACTTAGTGAAATAATTTTTAAAAAAGAACCTCTTTAGATTGAGTATTTTTAAGCATATAGAAAAGAAGACATGCTGTCAGAATTGAGTGGCCAGCTTGTCAGATGGAACCTCGACCAGATTCAGAAATAAGCATGTTGTTATCCACATGTTTTGCAGTTGAGCGAAATCTAGAGCTACCGTTCAACCAGCCCCCGGAACTCTCCAAGGAGAGTAACAGTCTGAAAAATATCCAGAGCTTTTCTGTTTCCCAGGAGGTGTTTTGAGATTAAATAGGTTTCTGGGAAGTAGCAGTTAAAGAAAATTGATTTGTACCCTGGATGTGACGAGTCATGCTCATTATTTTAAAGACCTATTATAAAACTTCATTCACATTCATTGTACACCAGAAACAGTAGCGTGGGTGAAACTCCAGGATAAGCTTTTTTAAAGGGCTTTGCAGTTTTAAGCATATGAGGCTTTAACAAAGAGCTTCACAGAGAACTCCCCTGAGGGGTCCATCATCTGGGAACAATGGTCCTTTCCCAAAGCCTCACAATGAATTGGTAGAAAGTTCTTGACCCTTTTGCTCAGACTGAGTTGCCTTTTAAAAAAATTATGCCTGATGAAAATATGCCGCCTTATCTTATAATGGGTCGCTCTGTCCTACAAATTCTGGAATGCCGAAATCCCTTCTCTCTGCTGACCTCTTCCTTCCTTCCATTTCCCTTTCTTCTGTCTTTCTTTCTTACTGTTTTTTTTCCCCTGCTTCTCCTTTTATTATTTCTTATCTCACTTTACCGGTTTTTTTTTTTTTTTTTTTGAGGAAGAATTGCCCTGAGCTAACGTCTGCTGCCAATCCTCCTCCTTTTGCTGAGGAAGACTGGCCCTGAGCTAACATCTGTGCCCATCTTCCTCTACTTTATATATGGGACGCCTACCACAGCATGGCTTGCCAAGAGGTGCCATGTCTGCACCCAGGATCTGAACGTTCCGTCGAAGCAAAACATGGGAACTTAACTGCTGCGCCACCAGGCCGGCCTCTCATTTTACCATTTTTTGCTTTTTCTTAAGTTATCTTTCTGTTGATCATTTCTGTGACCACATAGGATCACTGCTCTGTCTTTCTGAGAGGAAATCAGAGAAGCACCTTCTCCATTTCATACGTAACACGTTGAACGTTTCTCGATCATCCCCGAGTTCTGGCATGTGAGGTAGCAATGATCGAAGGCATCCTGATGGCTGATGGATGTGTAGGAGATACGGCTATGTGGCAGTTCTCAATGGGGCGATTTTGCCCCCAGAGGACATTTGGCATATTTGGAGAAATTTTGGTTGTCTCAACTTGGTGGAGGGGCGCTGTTGGCATCTAGTGGGTAGAGGCCAGGATTGCTGTGAAACGTTCTACAGTTCACAAGACAATCTCCCTTCCCCCCCAGCAAAGACTCTAAATGTCAATAGTGCCAAGGTAAGAAACATCGAGTGATGAGGTTGCAGCTCTCAAGTGAAAACTGTCTTTATTTATGAATATCTAAATATATGTAAAAATAGGACTATGCTTATTTGGAAATTTATTTATTCATGTCCTTTCTTATAATTAGGGGAATCAAATACTGAGGTGGCCCAGGAGCCAGCCTCATGGAAGGTAAAGGACCCAGATAAGCAGTCTGGAGAACTCAGATTCGTTACCAGCCATATGACCAAGTCACTTGACCTCTCTCAGGTTCAGTTTCTGTACCTGAAAAATGAGTGTTTGGAGTCTGTGATCTCGGAGGTCCTTTCAAGTTTAATGATGTCTAGGATAAAATTTATTTGGATTTTTCTTCATCTTTTTAAAAATGAACATGAATATCAGAAACAGAAATGTGGTCCAAATATTATATTGAATTTTTGAGAGGTTCCCTTGACTGCTTTTCTCTGTTGGAAAGGCTCTGTAACCAGTTTTGATAAAATAGGAAGAAAACATAGACAGCTTATTTGACTTGCTTGTTATTAATCGTGACATCACAACCACTCACTGTGATCATAAATAAAGAGATGAGCTCAAGCATTGTATTGTGGGATGAGGCGGAGAGTGGCAAAATGCCCACTGTTTTCCTTTGCTGCGAATCTGTCTTCTTGTGATTTCAGGTGGGAAACAGACGGCAGGAATTCAGTGATATTCTAAGAAGTAAACATCCTGTTTTAAGGCAGATGCATTCAGTTTTGCAGACCTGGGGTGGGGTGGGGGTGGGGAATCCCTGTTGGGTTTGACCGCGAACAGAAAAATGCTCAACTATTGTTTGGTTTTTCAGTTTTTGATGTAGAGCATAGAGCAAAGCTTACATTTCATGCAGGCTCCCAAGTCCCAAGAGTAGTCTTTCCTGTATTTCTAAATATGGATCTAATCAACCTGTCAGAGGATAAGAGGACT